AACAAGATGGATGGAAACTCACTGTCATGGATAGAGAGATCAGGTCTAATCACTGTATTGAAAGGGGGATCAGCTCAAGGAGAGGGAACAGCTCAAATCACAGTCACTGAATGAGGAATTAGCCCAAGAAAAGAGTTCAGCTAAAGTCACAGGCACAGAGAGAGAGAGAGAGAGATTAGATCAAATAGAGAAATCAGCTCAAATTACTATCAAGCTGCGTTCACACAGCAAGTGACACGCAGCACCAAAGCCACATGATCCCATTCATTTAAATGAAGAGCTGGCGATTTCCAGCAACATGGGCAAATGTGACCATTGGCGACAGGATGTAGGTGTGTCCAGCGAGGCCACAAAGTTGAGATATATTTAACTTTATGCAAATGAAGAGCCACTTTTGGGAGTGACAACCAATAGGAGTGAAGTCAGTGGAGTGATCCGTCAATACATCCTGTAGTGTATAGTGTCAGTGGCAAGATGGAGGAGAAGTTATTTTAGCGGTCAGCAAGTTTTCTATAATTTATTATGTCTATGGTACTTCCTTGAAAATAAATTCACTGTCGAATCAAATCACTGTCACTGACATAGAGAACAGCTTGAATCGCTCCTCTGAAATACGGATCAGCTCAAGCCGCTGTCATATAGAGAAGTTCAGGTAGAGAGATCAGCTCAAATCACTTCACTGAAAAGAGGATCAGCTTAAGGAGAGAGGGATCAGCTCAAAACAGAGTCACTGAAAAAGGGTCAAAATAAACAAGAGTGGTCAGCTCAAAACACTGTCACTGATAAAAAGATTGGATTAAATCCCTGTATTGAAAATTGGGATCAGCTCAAGGACGGGGATCAGCTAAAGGAGAAACATCAGTGTCACTGAAAAGGGGATGAACTCACAGCTCACATCACTGCCACAATATAGAAGCAATTGCTTAAATCATTGTTACTCAAAAAAAGGGATCAGCTCAAATCAGTGTCACTGATAGAGATGAGCTCTAATCACTGAAATTGGGATCAGCTCAAGGAGAGATATACATAAGCTTAAAATTAGGGAGAGAAAAGTAAGCTGATAAGCTCAGAGAAAGGGATCAGCAGCTCATGTCACTGTGATGGATGAAAGTCTTAGTTATGCAAGAAAGAAATCAGCTCCAGTCACAGACAGTTACACAGAAGAGGGACCAGACAGACCCCCCTTTGATCTATCATGAGTTTTTTAGGGAAGTACAACACTGCTCTTAACCTTCTCATGACTCGCCTAGTTTTACTATCTACAATACACACTCACTCAAACACACATAGACACCATAACCTGCCCATCACCACTTTGCATTCCTCAACAAACACTCTTTCCTCTCCTCTCATCTCCCACTCTCCCTCCCTCCTCCTTCCTGCTTTCTTTCCCAACACTAAGAGGAAGAATAGCTCGTAAACAGCGCTGTAAATAAAGGTAAAGCTTGTAAACAGAGATTATCAGTCCAAACAGTCTATAAAAATGGAGTCTTAAAGCATCAAAGCCAGAAAGAGATGAGAAGTTTTAACATCTTTTCAGAGGAAGAGACCCAAAACAGACACACATCCTTCATTCAAACTACTTACATATACAACCACGAATTTAGACTTGTTTATGCCTACACGCGCACTCTCAGATGCTGGCTACAGCACACTTGGCCTCATCTGTCGTGCACACAGTAGTAGGAGAGCGGCATATATGGCTGGAGAATTCCTCCACAGGTGGAGATAAGGGTGTAACGATGGAGTGTTGGCCCGGCAGGGTGCACTCATCCTGGGGAGGGCAGGCAGCTGAAGAGGGGCTCTCCAGTCTGTCTGGGCCATAAGAGGCAAAAGCAGGAACTGATAAGAAACTCAAGCATCCTCTTTACCACAGACAGACATACTCTTAACATCTAATCACCCATATCACCCTTTATCACAGTGAGAGGCAGAGAGAGTGTGTATAGGGGGTAGAGAATAAAAAAACTACAGCATAGGCCCCTACTGATACTTACTCATTTTTAACTGGTCAGGTTTTAAACATTTATATTAGACATGGTAAATGTAGAATTGACTATATAGCATAAATGTTCCATCAAGTGCATTTAATGGGAAAACTTTTATGATTTACAAGACTTTTGGCTATATATATATATATATATATTTTTTTTTTTTTTAAGGTTAAGACTGACATCTAGTGTTTGATATGAGCAACACATCGCTACATACATGTTCAAGGCAAAATAAAAATACATTTAGCGGTTAAAGGTGCACTTACTTTTCCTTAAACAGCTTTTACATATGGTAAATGAGTATTACATGTAAAAATAAATTATGTACACCGTACACAGAGGAAGAATCATAAGTGCCTAACAAAAGTTTATTTATTTTGCATGAAGATGGTCACTTCATGGGGACTATAATATTAATGACCAGGCAAATACTACAGATTTTACAACCATTTGTGTAAAAAAAAAATATATATATATTATTTTTATTTTTATCAGTCTGAAACTTCCAAGGCCGAAAGCACCATATATAGACACCATAGGGGGAAGATACAGATTATTGCCAACAAATATGTTTTTTAAATGGCTCTAGGTGTGTGTGTGTGGTGGGGGGGGGGGGGGGGGGGGGGGGGGGGGGGGTATACTTACTCTAGTATATTTTGTACTCTAATGTGTCTTTAAGAAAAGTAAGAGAGCCTTACTATTCCTCTCACCTGTCCCTAAAATCACTGGCAAACTCTATTCTCTCTCCAGCTCATACATTTTATCTCACAATATATTCCTCTCTGAATTTTTTTTTTTTTTACCACTCATTAAAACATGCTCAACATTTTCAGTGACATTACAAACAAACTGTTACCCTCAATCCAAAATATGTGGTTTTAGGTAAATCAAATAATAAATAATAATTATAAGTCTAGCCGTGATGTGTTATAAGTCAACGTGAAAATCACACACTTCAAATATGTGAGATGCAATATGTAAATTCTGGTAGCTTTGGTTTTGAGCTTATAAATCAGCTGATTTGGTATCAGATATAGTGTATAAAGTATGGTGTCCTGTGCTCAAATCTACAGGTTTTACAGACAAGGCTTAAGCTAGTCCCAGCCTAAATGCATGTTTGAGCAGTTTTTACTGAAAAACACTTGCTCTGGCATATCTTAAATCAATGCCATTGTTTTGTCTCAAGATGCTCACCACAGTAATGTTTTATTCTAAGGCACATTTATAAAATATACTTAAATGTCCTAACTGAACTAAGGCCTAATCCTGGCTTAATCTAAGCCTTGTCTGTGAAACGGGGCCTAAGAACTCCCCATGCCACATGACTGCGTTCACGCCAGCTGCGCTTAAAAAGACATTTTATTTATATAATAATATGCAAAAGTCATATACTATTTACCTCGCTATACAGACATATTTAAAAAATTCATAAAAATGTATAACAAATTGTTTTCTGGAAACTCCATCGGATTCTTATCTACATCTCCCCAAGTACCACTGTGGTGGTTTTATTGTTGTTTAACTATTTAATTAGGCCTATTTAATAAGTATTATGCCAAAGTCATATACTATTTACCTTGCTATACAGACATATTTTAAAAATTCATAAAAAATGTAAAATCAAATTGTTTTCTAAGCCTATACAACGCAAGATCATAGACGTGCAACGCATTTTTAAAGGGGTGTTTGATTATGATTTCACTTTTCTAACTTTAGTTAGTGTGTTGCTGTTTGAGCATAAACAACATCTGCAAAGTTAAGACACTCATATTTCAAAACAAAGGGAGATATTTTCTTTTTTAGGAATTGCTTTTTAAGGCCTACAACAAAAAGCTGGTTGGGACTACACTAGCTTCCTCCCAGGTTAGTGACATCACAACCCTAAAATGCACATAAACCCCACCCCCGGAACACGATTTATTATCAAGACAGAATAAGCTAATCAATGACTAGAAGATAACTACACATAAGCTACATAAATTCATCAACTAACCACTCAGAAATGTCTATGTTGTCACTTCTTCTTCAGTCTCTCCATCTTGTCTGACTCCGGTTTGAACATAAAAGGCTAAAAGTTTTTGAAATTTTCAGTGCATGTCTAATCGAAGCTGCTAAGAACGAGGTGTTGTAGCTCCGCCCTCTGTGCGGGGAGGAGCAGTTAATTTGCATTTAAAGGGACACACACAAAAACGGTGCGTTTTTGCTCACCCTCAAAAAGTGACAATTTTAACATGATATAAAAATATCTGTGGGCTATTTTGAGCTAAAACTTCACATACACACTCTGGTGACATCAAAGACTTATTTTACATCTTGTGAAATGGGCATTATACCACCCCTTTAACTTTAAGCTTCTCCGATGTGCAGATGCATAACTGTGCAGGTGCCCGGAGCAAAACTAGGCTGGGGTATAAATACATATTCCCGATATTAGTGTTAGCTGCACTAGTTTTTAAAATAAAATTATATTTTACCTGAGTTTAGTCTCCGAATGGGATGCAAGAACATATTTGTCCTTGGGCAACACGCAAAAAAACAAACAAACAATGCTACGCGATACCAGAGTTAGTAGCTCTAATGAACAAATGACTCTTGTCAGTTCAAAAAATGAGCCGGTTCCGGTGTTGTCTTTTAATCCAGTTAGCCCGCATGTGTGAAACACCCTGTCCAGCGTCCTGTATACTATTTTACGTAATTGCCTGAACTCCTTTTTATAAGCAAAAACAAAATGGACAATATAAATGAAATAGCCTACACCCATCAGAAACGAACACCACATATCTGCACCGGCAAGACTTTTCAAGATTTGGTGTATATTTGGAGCACCTGCTCCCTCTGACCACCAGAGAGCGCACTTTAACCTCTCCGAGCACCTGAATAGAGTTTTATAATAATGTGCTTTTTTACTCCTTTAATTTTTCCAACTAGAGCTTTGGACATTTCCTGGAGGATCTCTCTTTATCAGAAGTAAATGAAGTGTATATGTTACGTTTTCATTGTAGAAGAACAAACCTATCGTAGATCTTAAGTTTCGTTTCCTCCGTCTTACTTCCGCTGAAACAGCTGCGCTTTCATTTTTAAAGCCAGTGTGGATCATAACTGACGCTTACTGTAGGCTACATTACCACAGAGCTCACGGTACCAACGGCAAGAAGCATGGTACAGAAAAAGCTTTCTAAAGCTGATTTGCTTGCAGTTGGATTGGACTTTATAGAGTGGCTGGAGGAAAGCAACAGGAGAGCCACTACTGATAGAACCACTCTCAAAACAGCCTACAATGAAGAGTTCCGAGACAGGTAATCATTTGACATGTTTTATTTATTTCTATTTATTTATTGCTTATATTACGTATTCTTCTTACGTAGGCTACACTGAAATGATCGATATTTGCATTGCCTACATTCAAACATTTGTTTAAAGAGGAAGTGCATACAGTGTAAACAAACAACTTTTTCTTTCTTCAGAAGTTAAATTACACGTTTAAATTCTTTATTTGGGCATTTCTCAGATTAAGGGCCAAATTGGGTTGTTGCAATTTTGAAAATTAAAATCCCAAATTTGACTAATTGGTATACATCAAATTATCAGCCCTTAAGTCAGGAACAACGTTATGAGCTTGGTTGAGACCATAAGATAAGGGAATTTATGAATTTTTGCCATTTTTTTTAACTATGTCAAGTAAATGTGTCATTACCATCACATCATCGAATATATGTAAAAAAAAAAAAACTTAAATGATAAATCAGTGCTTTTAAAATATTTTGTGGTTTCACATGGAATCTATTTTATCTTGAACTCTAATGGGATTGTTGATTTTTACTTGTAAGATGAATTATAGTCATTTAAGTATCTACATTTCTGATTCATCAATCTACCCTGGCTTGGAATATAAGCTTATTTTAAGTGAATGCCATATATCAAAACTTTTTTAATACAGTGATAATTTAGACTGTCCAACATTGTCAGATATATTGTAGGATGTTTTTGTAATTTATACATAATTTATTGGCAAAAATATGTATGGTGATGGTGATGGTGATGACATTGCCGTTCTGGTAATGACAGTTTGTTGCGGTGATGACAAATCACTGATCATAACCTATTGTAATTTAAGAGCCTAAGTGACTTCAGACTAACAAAAAAACACCAGCTAGTAATCGGTTTAAACATCAAAACATAGTTTAATCTGATTATGGAAGACCAAACAGGAACTGTGTGTATCTGCCGTCATCACCACAACCTGTCATTACCAGCACAAGCTGTAATGTGCATTATGTGCTGGTAATGACTGTGCTGGTAATGACAATTTAGTAAAAAAACTAGCCTTGCTAGCAAAGATGATGACTAAGCAAGTGTAGCTAGCTTTCTACATGTAATGTACACCATTTTAACTATTAAAGTGATAAAAATAATCCAAAAATGTTGAAAAAAACAGAAATACAACACATATGGTAATGACGCATAATAAGTGTACATGCCCAACACAAAAAATAAAGAGTAGATTTACTTAATTTTCTGGACATCAAGGCATCAGTCTTGCAGCTTGAAATCCATGTGCTCCACTATGCTATTAGGTTACCATGGCTACCAAATAAACTTTTGATGAAAAAACAGTTAAAAAGTGCCTTTATGCAGAGCGTGTTGGTAATGACAGCTAAACCATGTGACAGGTAGAAATTAAGCAAAATAAAGTACAAAATGCATATATATGCTTAATCCGTGCATGTAGTTTATTAGTTCAGGTAACATTTAATTCATATGCATATTTTTTTTTATTAATTTGTGATAAATAATGTTTGAGATATGGCACGACATGTGAAAACTCTGGTGGCGGACAACACCAAAACACAGATATTGTACCACAAAACACCAATAAAATGTGTTAAAATCATTAGTAAGAGTAGCCATAAAAAAGTCTAGGCTTGTTTTTGTTTATACTAATTAGTGGTGCTAAAATGTATTAGATTTAATTAGTTTTTAATAGAATTACGCCCTGTGGACAGAAATAGGCCCGAATTCTGGGAAATACCCATTTATTTTTGTAAAATCAAAGTTTCAACCTGGAATGTTCACTTTGAATTTTCTGATAGCCTACTGAAAATTGAGTCAAAACCGTGAAAATAAAATGACCGCAATTAGTGACAGATATGAGTGGACAGAATTAACAATATTATGAGGCAATTATGAAAACACACATAGCCTACATATTTATTTATTTAACGCATTTTTATCCACAGGGATGGAGTCAGAGACCCAAACTTCTCTTCAGTTCTCTTTGCAATGAGAATGTGCAGAAAAGCGCGCGTCACCAAGACAGATGTTTACTTTGGCCGAAATGTAAGAAACCTCTTTTTTATTAACCACTGGCTGACAGTTTGTAATTCTATCGTTGATGTCCATTAAGAGTGATTTATGTTGTCAATGGCAGTATGCTTGTAGTTCTGTTCTGTAGCTAAATTGTGTGTGTGTGTGTGTGTTTGTGTGTGTGTGTGTGTGTGTGTGTGTGTGTGTGTGTGTGTGTGTGTGTGTGTGTGTGTGTGTGTGTGTGTGTGTGTGTGTGTGTGTGTGTGTGTGTGTGTGTGTGTGTGTGTGTGTGTGTGTGTGTGTGTGTGTGTGTGTGTGTGTGTGTGTGTGTGTGTGTTTATAGCTACACAACTAGAAACAGTCTGTGGACGTGTTTACTTTTTTTCTTTTTTTTTTTAAAGATCTTCTCATGATTACATGCGGTTTGTAGGCTAATGCTATAAATTGTTTTTGGAAAGCATAACAGATGTGTCTGAATTTGAAGCCGGAATAGTTTCATTTTCATCAAACTGCAACCTTTGATCAGAGTTAGCCTAATTGATTCAATATTATCTCTTGACCAGCTGATGGTACACTCCTTCAGATGCACATTACACTGAGTCATCTATAACCTCTTGCATTAGGGGTAATTAGTTTAAATATCATGTGTGAAAAATGATACCACTAAAATACCAGTAAATCAGTTCTGGCAAATTTCTGATATGAGAAGTTGTAACAATACCATGTAAATTACCAATATGATGCTATTGATGAACAAAGTATAGGATAACTATTATGAGGACTCTCTATACATTCAGCCGATGTTATGCAACTCTATGCAGTTTAGTCAGATTCTTGCTTTGTCTGGTTGGTGATTTTTATTTTTTATTTATTGATGCCACAGCTTATTTTAAAACACATTTTTGCTAGCTTATATAATTATATCTGTATTTTTATTTGCCACTTACTATACAATAGTTGCCATTTTTATGTAGATTATTATGCCATACTTTCATAAAACAGCATCATTTCAGTGTCTTGCATCAATTCAAGACAACTGTCATATGCTAGGATGTGTAGCACTGCAATTTATTACTCAAGCTAATTAATTTTTATGAAAAAAGGTGGTAGTACAGACAAAAAAAAAGAAAAAAATAGTAAATCAAGACAGCACAGCTGGGCATAAACCTCTCTGCTGAATGTTAATAATAAAGTGATAAAACCACACCAATCTCCACTCTGCCATTTCAGACAAGGTCAACAATGCCTCATGAGAAATAGAGTCACGCTAATTGTCTTTGAGGAATCTTTGGAGAGGGACACAGTAAAAGAGAAATACACAACATGCACTCAGCTGTTGTGTTTTATGGGGACTTTACATAGACATTTTATGCAAACTGTATATTCTATCCCCTAAAACCTACCCATCACAGGATACTTTCTGCATTTTTGCATTTTCAAGCTGTTTTCCTCATCTTTCCTCATCTCATCATTTCCCCATAATGTAGGATTTACACGCACTGAAAAGCAACTAGCATGAGTTATTGTTTTTAATAATAAAAGATACAATACATTACCTGCTATGTTAACTTCTTTGATCTCAACAAGGTAGAATAATTAGTCATGAAACTAACTGGTCATGGCTAACATGAAACTGTGATTAATGGCTTATCGAATCTGGGGAATTTATAACCCTACAATTATATGATCAGATAGTTCTGTCATAAATGAGCTGGTTATACAGGGCATAACAATAAGGATAGCCTCCTAGTGTGGGGCAAGTGTGAGACATTTTTGAGTCAGTGATGCTACAGTCACTTGCATTTGCTGGGTTGCTGCTGATAATTTGACATTTGTGGGTTTTTTTCTTGTGAATTTTAATATTGAATGAAAAATAGACATTTCTAGCTAATATAAAAGTTAGTGCTGTCAATCGATTAAAAAAATTAACTCGATTAATAATTTTTTTCCTGTGATTAATCGAAATTAAAAACCTATTTTTTTATAGGTTTATATTTAGTTTATATATTTTAGTCATTTCACAGTTTCTACATTCCAATTTAATAGAGACAACATAAAGACATATTTTAAATACTTGTTAAATGGCATCTTTTTATGAATGAAGGTCAGTATCACTGATACTAATACAGCTATTGATGTCTGGATAAAAAAAAAAAAATATCCCCCAATTTTAAACATTAATTATAGCCATTCAACATTACAGTATCAATTTGTTTGTTTAACATTTATTAGGCTTAAAAAAATATAACAACTTTAAATTTAAGTGAACTTAAAACAATCCACATAAACCCATAATACATGTAATATTTACCTGTGCCATTCCTACTGTACCTGTCTAGCATATACAGAACAATATACAGAAATTGAATAAAGTTATCAAACAGTATGCACGGCATAAATTATAGATTAAATATAGACTAATCCTTATTAAAGCTACGAAAGTTCATTAGTCAAGAGCAGTGAGTAATTTTCTCTGTTCCCTTTGTTCTTTGATTAACTTTACTGACAGAAAGCTGTATTGGCTGCTGACTCTTTAGAACAGCACATGACGTGTATCTCACACGCGTCTCATTCTCTCACAACTCTTTACGTTCATTTAAGACTTTATTTAACTCCTTTAAGACTGCTCTTATGTTATGAGGATACTCAACAAAACAGACATTTTGGCATAATTGTGTGTGTTATTGTTCGTACAAGCGCGAAAGAGAACTAACTGTATTCTGGCGCGCATCTTTCAGTGTGTCGTGTGTGTGTGTCACATAGACAGGACATTCACTGACAGCGCTGTCTCTTTTGTTTTGTCGCGCTTGAATGGTTTAAAAGCATTTACATTGATAGATTTATTATTAACCTTTATTTAACCAGGTTATCTCATTGAGATTTAAAACCTCTTTTCCTAGAAAGATCTGGCCAAAATGACAGTGTATTGACAGCGCACAATAACAAATATGAACAACAAACACACGTACAACAACATAAACAATCAACATTAGACTATTTAAAAGTACAATTTATACATGCTATGGATTTTAAAATAACTAATTATTGATAGTTACATATTAAAAACAGTGACAGCATAGCATCTATTTCCAAAGATTTCATGTAGTGTTTAAATTGACCAAAATAAATCACATCTCGCAACTTCAAATCCAACTGCATTGTGTTCCATGTGGAAGGGGCTGCATAACTAAAGGCCTTCATACCGAGCTTTGTACGGACCTTAGGTACAGACAACAAATATTACCAGAAAATTACCAGAGCGCAAATTGTAAGAACAGTTGCTGCGAGACATATAAGTGCAAAGATAAGATGGGAGCATATCCAACATAGACTTGTAAATAAACGTAAGCCAATGAATGTGCCTCCTCACTGATAATGAAGGCCAGTTTGTCATTTTGTACAAAGTACAATGATGTGTTGATGCTTTACATCCAGTCACAAATCTTAGTGCACTATGAAAGATAGTATCCAACAAAGATAAACATTTAACAGGCGCATTTCTGTAGAGCAGGTCACCATAATCAAGTGCAGTGAGAAATGTTGCAGCAACTATAATCTCCTCCTAGTTTTCCAAGAAAAACAGGCTTTGTTTCTAAAATAAAATCCTATTTTTAATTTGAGCTTCTGTACCAATTTATTAATGTGCAACTTAAAAGAGAGCTGATCATCAATTAATATACCCAAATATGTATACAGTTTGACTTGTTCAATCTGTTCCCCATGTATAGTAGAAATACTTGGAAGACTTTCAAGTAACTTCCAAGTATTTTCTTATATTATAAGTATTTTCTTACATTATAATCTTACATTATAAGATTGTGATCATATAATGTAAATCTAGCCAAAGGATACAAATTAACGGATGCTGCGTATACGTTCATACTTTTACTTCAAATTCACTAAATCCCTCCTTCAGCCCATTCAGAAATGCCATTACTTGTGTAGAAACCTATACATAGGAGCCTGATACAAAATGTAATATTAAACAAAAACTTTAGACGGACTTAGAGGCTTTTGCATCTGAAGTCTTCATATATAATATAAATATATTTATATACTGTCAGTGTTTAATAATATTTAATTAGTTATTTTCCATTTTAATTAAACTTTTTTAGTCATTTTGATATGCTTTTGTCATTTTTATTATTTTTGATATATTGTCATTTCCATTTAACTTTAATTTGTTTTTATTTCAGTTTTAGTTTAATTTTAGAACTTTAGCTTCAACTTATTTATTTATTTTTAGTTACCAAAGCAACTTTTATAATGTTGTTCAAGATTAAGTTAACGTAGCCTATTTCATCTAATATTTATATTTTATTTAATTTCTGAATTTCAATTACCGAAACTCAGCAAAAATCTGAAACACTGGACCTGCAAAAAAATAAAATAAAAAAATACTGTTATTGTTATATCATAACTGTTGAGCCCTGTTACAATGTAATGTGTTTCTGAGAATGGCCAAAGACTGACAACCCTATTGTGGCATTTCTAGGTCCGAACGAGGCCACTTGATCAATGGGACAGACCCCATCGCAGACAGTCAATCAAAGCTAATCCCCCTACTATGAGAAATGGTAGCTCACCGCCATCCGCTAGTGCGCAGGGTCCTGACCCACCATCAGTGCCAGGGCCAGAGAGTGGAGTCAGAGGCAGGAGAAAACTGGCAAAAGACATCCTACGTCGACTGAACAGTACAGAGAGGTGAACTGGCCTCTTTGAACAGTGGATAGAAACCAACCTCTGAAAATACATCGAAATATCAAAACAGTGTTGCTGCTCTTTCCTTCCCAGGTCTGTGTTTATAGCTGATAAGCATGGGGTGCGGGTGTCCTCAGAGCTGCAAATAGAGGATGGCAAGATCCAGTTGTGTGTGGAACAGGCAGAAGTTTATGAGCTGAAGCTGTTTGTGGAGAACACGGGTCAAGAGGCCGTGTATTTCACTTACTACACTGCTCTTCACTGGCTGCAGTGTTTCACTCTGGAAGACAGCAAGAAAGTCACACGCAACAATGAACTCCGCCTGGAACCATGTGAGTGCAACCAAACCTTACAGCAATACAAGAGAAACGGGTGTTTTTTGAGGGGGTACATTTGGTACTGTAGCTTGCTAGTGACTTTTGCTGTGACTTTTCCTGCTTCCGAATATGCCTACTTCCATTTTATATAGTAGGCAAAAAACAGTATGTGAGCTGAGTAGTATGTCACAATTCATAGTATTCATTAAACAGTAGGCGAAAAGTACCTTGATGTCCGGCGAGATTCTGAACTGTGCATCTAATGTGCACTTTACTATCCTGTGAGGCCACGGAAGAGGATTTGTGAATGGCAGTGAAGCAACTAAACTGACGCCATAGGTCAAATGACAGTCAAGACGCATGGATGTAGTACATCCAGATTAACATTCATACTACTCACTTTCTTACTATATAGATGTATTTTTTGTCAATGGTCCATATGTAGTGTCTACTATACAGTATGTGATTTCAGACACAGCGTTTAATTTGATATATTAGAAATGTATGAAAAATGTTTTTGGTGCGGCGGTTGCCACACGTGCCTATGATGGGTTGGGCTGTGGTGCTGCTAAGGAGTTTTGAACAGGTTTGAACCCAACCTGTTTCTCTCTCTCTCACTCTCAATTTTAAAGGTGAAAAGTATGAGGTGACCTTGAAATTCAAATCAGATGATATGGGAGTTCATTCAGCCATTCTGGCATTTGAGTTTAAGGAAAATACCCAGGTCACCACCCGTCCTTTCCACATTGTGCGCTTCATTGAGGCAGAGTACAGGTCTGAGCTTACAGCACTACTGGGTCCTACAGCACCATTTAGACATCAAAAGCTTGAGACCTATGAGCCAATGAGGTGCAACATAGATGAGGGCATTCCACCCGAGAGGTGAGAGGAAAATCCCTCTTTTTAGGGATTATATACACTTCTGTTTTCCCCTGTGTTTATTTGTACAGAAATCAATCACTTGCATGTTGTTTTTTTCTTCTCTTTTGCAGTTCTACCCAAAGCTTTTTGAAATTTGTGCTGCCACTGGTGCCTTACCATCTTCCTTCTTACATCTCTGACTTAGTTGAGGTCCTGAAAGTTAACCGTTCTTTCCCGAGTCTCAGAACACAGCTCCAGGAACAAAAGTTAGTGGTCTTAAGCTCCAATTGTGCTTTTTACAGTTGATCTGAGACCTGTTACTAGTCCCTGAATGGTACAGAAAATCTCCCTGCATGTGCATGTATAAGAAAAGCCATTGTGACTGTTTTCTCTTTTGGTGGTTTGTAGGTCACTACTTGACAGTGATCTGGATTTTCTGAACTACGATAAGCGCTTTGATTTACTTTTGTACCTGGAGGAGGATCAGATGCGTCTGGACATTAAGAGATATAACAAAGAAGATGTGTCCATGGAGAAGGACCATGAGAACAGACGACTGCTGGTCTTAGAGGTGAGTGGCAGCTTCTTTCTGTCTGTTAATAAAGCATGTGATTGTGTTTGTTAGACCCTCAGACTGACAGCAGAAGGACTCCATAGCAGCTTTCATTGGCCAAGGACTACTCAGAGGCCATCTGAAGCATGTTAAGCAACCAATCACAGTTTGTTTTGTTCATAGTCATGTTTAGGGGCGTGAAAATGTTATGTCGATGTCCTTACATAAAAGACTGGATTCTCACAAAACAATCCTTCCAACCACTATAGATAGAGTCTCAAATAGCTTACCTGATCTATCTCAGCTGCTCAGTGAACCCACACAAACAGACAGTGGTGGAGGAAGTACTGAATCTCAGTACTTAAGTAAAAGTACAAATAACCAGAGACATATTTACTTTAGTAAAAGTAGAAGTACCACAATGACAACCTTACTTAAGTAAAAAGTAAAAAGTACCTGATTTTAAATGTACTTTAAGTATTAAAAGTAAAAGTACTTGCATAACAATTTCTCTTAATGTCTATATTCTAATGATTAATAAAACAGTTAATTCTAACTCATTCAACCTAATACTCATATAATTATGTTCAATATGATGGAAAAGCAGTTATATTTTAAGTTTTTGTCACCATTTCTGAAGAAGCTTGCAATTAGGCAATATACACATCAAGCTTACTATATACCCTTACTATATACGGTATATATATATATATATATATATATATATATATATATATATATACAAACACACATACTATGTTAAAACGCCGTATATGACGGCGTTTGGCTGTAAACGCGATTAATTTATGGCGTAATTCTGAACCTCTTGGCTTGCCATACTAATCCTAACCAAACGCATAATTACACACGCACCCCACATCACTACTAAACCTACCGATGCGTTTCCTATGCATGTAAAAACAAATTTTCGCGTTTAAATTGCACGATAAACACACTGCGTGCTATAGAGAGGCATTTAGTGTGACCGGGTTGATATATCTATGGCAACCAAACTTCACTGGTGAGACAGAAACGTGTGATGAACGGACGGTCAGGATGACGTTTTGGCAGGGGAAAACTGATCAGAAAATTTAACGAAAATGTAACAGAACGTTGTAGAAATGTAGTGGAGTAGAAAGTATAATAATTACTGCAAAATGTAACGAAGTAAAAGTAAAAAGTATGCACTATTGATTCTACTTAAGTAAAGTACAGATACGTGAAAAATGTACTTAGGTAAAGTAACGAAGTATTTGTACTTCGTTACATTCCACCACTGCAAACAGATGGACTAGAGGAAATGACTAGCAGTTTGAGCACCATTTTCTCTAGTACATTAGATATTGTTGCACGAATTAGATTAAAAAAGGTTAGAGAGAAAACTAAAGCACCATGGTACTACGCATGTTATCAAAACTCGTAACTTAGAGCTCAAATGGAAACAAACTTATTTAGAGGTCTTTAGAATCGCGTGGAAAGACAGTATGTCACGTTATAAAAAGGCTCTAAAAGCAGCCATGGCTGAGCATCTCCGCAAACTAATAGAAAATAACCAAAATAATCCAAGGATTTATTTAACACCGTGGCTAGACTAACAAATAAACAGACAGCACCTGAGCAAAATATTCTGTTACAGTGTAGTAGTAATGATTTTATGAATTTCTTCACTGAGAAAATAGAAAGCATCGGAAACACAATTGTAAATGTACAATCTTTTATGGTGTCTTATGATTTAGCCTCAATTATCGCCCCTCAAGAACAACTACACCGCTTTACAACTATAGGACAGGAAGAGCTAAATAAACTTATCATTGCATCTAAACCAACATGTTTATTAGATCCAATACCCACTAAACTACTGAAAGAAGTGTTACCTGTAGTGGAAGAGCCTCTTCTCAATATTATTAACTCGTCTTTATTTTTAGGTCATGTTCCAAGAATATTCAAGCTGACCAAGCCTGTATCTCAATACTAGTTCTACTCAATCTTAGCGCTGCGTTCGACACTATAGATCATAAAATACTCTTGGATCGACTACAAAACTACACTGGTGTTCAGGGACAGGCATTAAGCTGGTTTAGATCGTACTTATCAGACCGTTACCATTTTGTCTGTTCAAATGGGGAAAAATCGAAGATAACGTCAGTAGACTATGGAGTGCCGCAAGGATCGGTGTTAGGCCCTCTGCTATTCTCAATATATATGCTGCCACTTGGTAATATTATAAGAAAACATGGAATTAATTTCCACTGTTATGCTGATTATATATTTCATCACGACCAGATGAAAACACTAACTTATCTAAATTGACAGAGTGTCTTAAAGATATAAAATACTGGATGACGTGTAATTTCCTGCTATTATTAAATTCAGATAAAACGGAGGTATTACTTATTGGTCCACTTAATTTCACAGTTGCGAACAAAGCGGCTTTCTTCTTCCATGAGGGGTTTGGCCTCACAACGGCTTTGTTTCCAGACGAACTGTTAAAGAACGCAACACACACGTCTCCCGGAAATAGTTTAGAATTCAACCAATTGGATGATGACTTCAAAACTCCCGAAGTGTTTCCCATTTTGTGTGCTTTATCCATCAGACGGGCATGGGAATGACGTCTGAGGCTGAGACTAGTGTTGGGCACATACAGAGACTCAAACGCCTAGATGACATGTACATGGCTCTTTAAGGGACAGTGCATCCCAAATTGAAAATTCTGTCATTATTTATTCAATTGTTTTTACTCAAAATATTATGTTTTTCGCTGATAATTTTCTACTCCACTGAAGACATTAAATGGACTACAAAGAAAAAAATATAAATAACAGCAAATGGTTTTGGAACAACATGATACATTGTCATATTGGGGTGAACTGTCCCTTTAAGTAGTATGTACTTTTATATTTGTTAGAAAGTGATGCCGTTTGAGGTCTGTCTGTGTATCTCTTGTGTTAAAGCTCCCTGGTGTATCAGAGAACAGGCCATCAGTCCTGAGGGGAGATCACCTGCTTCTCACCAAGAGTGAGGAGGTCAATTTCTCAACTGTGACCAAATACAAGGGCTACGTCCACAGAGTGGAACTGGATCAAGTCAAACTGGGCTTCTCCAGAAGGTATGAAGTATGATGAGTTTATATAAGCCTTTAAGCTAAAGAGTATTTGAAAGGGTCACACTTAAAAATTACAAGACTCAAGGCTTTGTTTTTCCCAAATTAACCTCAAAATCAGAAATATATATCATCATATTCTGCCCATGTCTTGTAAATTATATAAAACAGAGCATTCAAAACTGACCAACCTATATACATTTAGGGTAACAAAACAAAGTTTTGAATACTAATTTTTTTTTTTTTTTTTACTTTTGTTCAGCAAGGTTGTATAAAATTTATCGCAGTAAAGCCATTTCTAATGTTACAAAAGAGTTCTATTTTAGATAGATGCTGTTGTTTTGAACTTTCTATTCATAAAAGAATCCTAAAAAAGTGTATCAGTTTCCAACAAAAAACATTAAGCCACACAACTGGTTTCAACATTGATAATAATAAGAAATGTTTACTGAGCAGCAAATCAGCATATTAGAATGTTAATTTGGTCTCATTTTGCATATTTGTTTACAGACCAGTTTATAACCACTTAAACTTGTGTGTGTGTGTGTGTGTGTGTGTGTGTGTGTGTGTGTGTGTGTGTGTGTGTGTGTGTGTGTGTGTGTGTGTGTGTGTGTGTGTGTGTGTGTGTGTGTGTGTGTGTTTTATGTGTAAAGGCTGCTTGACGATTTCATAGATAATATGAAGTTCCGTGTGGAGTTCACAGTGAATCGTCTCCCATTAAAACTGCAACACAGAGCTGTACACATGGCGGTCCAGCACAACCTCAGAGATGTGCTGTTCCCCGTGGGCTCAAGGAATGTGACCCCTGTTTCTCCCCCTGCACTGAGGTCAGTAAGACCCATCTGGACTGAATCTGTGCTACTAAATCATATTTTAGTGAAACATTATGGAGTATTTCAGCTGGATGTGTGTGTGTGTCTCTAGACTCTTTGATCAACAGCTTGAGAGGAACCCTGAACAGAAAACTGCAGTATGTAACATCGTTGCCGGTACGTCCAAGCCGGCACCGTACCTGGTGTTTGGACCTCCTGGCACTGGTAAAACCGTCACGATAGTAGAAGCCATCAAACAGGTAAAACTAGTTATCATGTTCAACTAAATCATCACATCTCATTGTGTCTGTATGCAAAATGTAATAAGCAGAACTGCTATTGTGATTGCTTCTTTCCCTCTCTCTGTCTTTTATCTCTCAGGTGGAGAAGAATATACCCGATGCCTATATCCTAGCTTGCGCTCCTTCTAACAGTGCTGCTGATCAACTGTGTGAAAAGTTGATCACTAGTCAACATGTTGATGCACGTAAAATATACCGACTCTACGCTAGTTCACGCAATCCAAATGAAATCCCTCAAGTCTTACAGGTTAGTGCTTGTTGTGTGACTTGATTTATTAATTAAAGGTTTAATTAAATGAACACAATAAAAATGGGAAGTTATGATGGAAAATATAGAATAACAGTAGTACATGTTTACTTTTCATTTTTAAAATAAAAACCTCAAACAAAAAAGTTCCACATGGATTCAATATTGTTACGAGCTGGAGAAAGCAGGCTGAGGGACGGATCTAAACCCAGGGTTTTTAATAAAATAACACATTAAACAGATAACACAGAATTCAAGGAACAAAACCACAACAATTACATGTACTGTACAACAACTGACAAAGTAACAAGTAAAACACGAGGGCTATAAATACACAGGAGCAAACAAGCTTAACAAGGTAATGAGGAAACAAGATACACCTGGGGAGACGAATCAACATGAAAAATCACAAATGCTGCGTCCCAATTCGCCTACTTATACTACGCCCTAAAAGTATGTACTCTTTTTGTGAAGAAAAAGTACATACTTTTGAGTGTGTAGCAAAAGAGTAGGCAAGCTTTGGGACATACTACTTCGTCATCTTTAACGGACAGATCTGTCGCATGCATCCTATCACCGTAAACTGCCCTGTCAATCATCTCGTCACAGTTAAAATCCTCCATTCAATCTAATATAACTTCTTACCATTTCGGAGAGAATTGTTGTCGCACGTTCATCTGCCAGTCATGGGTCTTTCATGCGGAGACTCTCCTCGTGTGTTTGGAATTTGAATATAATAATGCATTTAAAAGTTAATGGCTAAACGTATCTTTGCAAAAGTTCACAATGCTGCTGCAGATGCAATATAATAATGTAGACAACATTGAATAAATACATTTTCGTCAGGTTAGTTAGATACTGATAATTAATCACTCAAACCCCTTTATCTAAACCTCTCTACATAACCGTCGGACTCGCGCGTCCTCCATGTATGTGGTTTTTGAACACTTTTCATTCGTGTTTGTAGTTCTAACCGAATCCTCGTCCAACGCGCAATGGGTTGTGGGCAATATCAGCCGTTAGAGTGCGCATCGATCTGCACTTCGGATTCTGACCGGATATAGTAGACCATCCGGGTCTCTTTGGGACACTCATTTCAACATACTACGATTTGGGACGTACTAATTCTATTTTCGAATACTATTTAGGACGGATAGTATGCGAATTGGGACGCAGCAAAAGAACTACAAAACATGGCACAAGACAGGAAATACCAAAAGTCCTCACACAAGACAGGGGAACACAGGCTGAGATCGTGACAAATATAAATATTTAAGCTTTACATAAATACATATTATTGTTTTATGATTGAATCACTCAGTTTCTAGTTTAACTCAGCTAAAGAATTTCAAGTTGAAAAAATTAAAAGCAAATGGTAATGCAAATATGACAATAGCAGCCTTAACTTGGAATTATCTTTGCACCACACCACGTTTTTTTCTGTCCTTTGTGCTAGGCTCAATGTGTAACATTTTGAAGAAACATTACTTCTGTTTGAACCACTTGTTCAAAAAGACTTTGATGTCACAATTTTAAATATTATGTCAGAGATCTAATCATTATAAAGGGGGGGAAAGACGTGCATACAGCATTATTAAAAAATATACAGTGAAGGCATATTTTAATTTTAATAACAGCAAAATGTATGTGTTTGACATCGTTTAACCCTTTAAAATGTAATTTAAGTAGTTTAGATATTCAACCAATTTAAATCTATCAAATGATGTGCTATATTTAATAATCTTATATTATGATAATTTCAGTAGTTTCAGTAGCATGGGAATACAGAGGGAGTTGTTTGTAGTTTTGTTGTTGTTGACTGTGTTTTTGTGTGTTTAGAACAACAGTAATGTGGAAGGAGGAATGATTATTTTCCCATGCAAAGAGGATCTAATGTCCTACAAGATCCTGGTCAGCACTCTAGTCACCGCAGGCAGGTGAAGGGCGTCATCTTATACAAACACAGTACTCTCTAACATGCACACAGCAGCCAATAGGTAAAGAGTGTTTATGTGTGTCTGTGTTGGTAGACTGGTCAGTGGGGGTTTTCCTGTGGATCATTTTTCTTACATCTTTGTGGATGAGGCAGGACATGCTGTGGAGTCAGAGACCATCATCAGTGTGGGAGGTGGAACACTTTACAGAATAACACTGAAAACCATCAGACCTTTAAATAGAGATCAGTCTGTGGTAGCATTTCTCAATTCTAATCATTGTGTGGGTGTGTTTAGGACTGCTGAATGCAGAGACTGGGCAGCTTGTTTTGGCTGGAGATCCCAAGCAGCTGGGACCAATCCTGAGATCTCCTTTTGCTATTAAATACGGACTGGGTGAGATACAAATGAATGCACATACAGTATACTCTGTGGTAGAATTCCCCTACGCACCTGACTTAAGTTAATTATTACATCATTTTTTCTCCAATATGATTGGTTCTTCACACAGTCGCCTGAAAAAGAAAAGACACCCTATTGAATTATATGGTTTTATGTATCAGGAGGACATAATAAAAAATCGTCTGGTCCTTGGTAGGTCTTAAAATTAGGTAAATACAACCTCAGATGAACAACAACACATGACATATTACACCATGTCATTTATTTAACAAAAATAAAGCCAAAATGTAAAAGCCATGGGTGACAAACTAAGTACACCCTTACTGCTTCCATAGAAATTAAGAGTAAGTAGCAGCCAGGCGCTGCAAATCATATGTCTTTGTTTAATTGATTGTCAACTCTATATAAGAAGTTTTGGCAGTTCGCTTGTCTGGAGCATTCAGGTGTGTTAACACAATGCCAAGGAGGAAAGACATCAGCAATAATCTTAAAGAAGCAATTGTTGCTGCCATCAATCTGAAAAGGGTTATAAGGCCATTTCCAAACAATTGGAGTCCATTATTCTACAGTAAGGAAGATTATTCACAAGTGGAAAACATTCAAGACAGTTGCCAATCTTCCCAGGAGTGGACGTCCCAGCAAATTCACTTCAAGGTCAGACTGTACAATGCTCAGAGAAATCACAAAACACCCAAGAACTATACCTCAGACTCTACAGGCCTCAGTTAACATGTTAAATGTTAAAGTTCATAGCAGTACAATTAGTAAAAAGATGGGACAAGTATGGCACGTTTGGAAGCTTCTTCTCTCTTAAAAGAACATGGCTGCATGGCTTAGGTTTGCGAAGTGGCATCTGAACAAACCTCAAGACTTCTGGAACAATGTCTTTTGGACAGACGAGACCAAAGTGGAGATGTTTGGTCATAACCCACAGTGCCAAGTTAGACAAAACCTAAACACAGCATATCAGCACAAACACCTCATACCAACGGTCCATCACGCTGATGGAGGGTTGATGATTTTTGGCTTGTTTTACAGCCAGAGGACCTGGGCACCTTGCAGTCATTGAGTCGACCATGAACTCCTCTGTATACCAAAGTATTCTAGAGTCAAATGTGAGGCCGTCCAACAGCTAAAGGTTGGCCGAAATTGGGTCTTGCCACAGGACAATGATCCCAAGCACACCAGCAAATCTACAACAGAATGGCTGAAAAAGAAAAGAATCAAGGTGTTCCACTGGCCCAGTCAAAGTTCAGACCTCAACCCGACTGAAATGTTGCGACAGGAACTTAAGAGAGCTGTGCATAAACAAATGCCTGCAAACCTCATTGAACTGAAGCAATGTTGTAAAAAAGAGCGGGCCAAAATTCCTCCAGAACAATGCGAGAGACTGATACTGTCATACAAAAAACGGTTCCTTCAACTTATTGCTGCTAAAAGTGGCTCTACAAGCAATTGAATCATAGTTTGTCACCCATGGCTTTATTTTTGTTAAATAAATAATGACACTGTGTAATATGTCATTTATTGTTGTTCATCTGAGGTTGTATTTACTTAATTTTAAGACCTGCTAACAACCAGAAGATTTTTATTATGTTCTGATATGTAAAACCATAAAATTCTAAAGGGTGTCCTTTTTTTTCACATGACTGTTATGTATAAATCTCTGTTACTAGCTAAAAGCAAATTTGGATTCCTTGATACTTCCGCTTGTTGCTAGGGTCATGAGGTTATATATATATATATATATATATATATATATATATATATATACAGTATAATATATATAAATGAACTAGACAGCTTTTGTTTCCCCTTTTGTTATATTCAGATACACTAACTTTGGCCCAAGTGTAAGCATAAAAATGCATAAGCATATACATGTTAATCCTGCAATAAAAAGAAATGAAAGGTATGTTTAAAATTAAAAATTTCCTTCACAACAATAAATGTGTTTTTAGGTCTTTCTTTGCTGGAGAGGCTGATGACACAAAATGAACTTTATCAGAAAGGTACTACAGGATACGACAACCGTTATGTCACCAAACTGCTGCGGAACTACAGGTAAAGTCTGAATAATTCAGAGACCTCATCTAAAAAACTATGAATTGATTAATTGTCTGACCGACTAGCTGGTCTCAAGGAAGCCCTAAATAATTGGGGTCCATCAGAGGAAACATGTTCACACAATATGTGTTAAATAAAACTGTAACATTTTACAATAAGGTTTCAATTGTTAATATTAGCGAACTACATTAGTTTACATGAACTAACAGTGTGACTTTTAAAGCATTTATTAATCTTAGTTAGTCAAAACTTACTAATACATTATTGACATCAAAAGTTGTATCTGTTAATATTATGTAATGGACCTGAGCTAACATGAACTAACTATGAACAGTTACATTTTTTATTAACTAACATTAACAAAGATTAACTACAAACTGTATTGATCTTTGTAAGTTAATGTTACTTATTGCATTAACTAATATTAACTAATGGAACGTTTTTGATGGAGTACAACCGAATGGGACAAGCACACAGGCCTCAAGGCTGAAGTAACTATTTTGAACTTGTCTGGGGGAAAATTCTGATATACGTAGAGAAAGTTTCCAAAATGTATACTGCAGATCAAAAATTCCTAAACCTCTGTGTGGAGAAAGTACAGATGGTTATGAATGAGGCACACATACCACCTAGAGCCATTTGTCTTTTTGATTTAGTAGTTTTGGCTTGTAGCCAGTAGTAGAAGACCTTATCTGCTTAGTAACAGAGAGCCATGCTCAGCAAAGATAGAGGCACAACCCATTACTAAAAAGAAAACATAAGACCTTGAACATAAATTTCACTCCCGACCATGAATGAACATGGGAAACGGAGAAAGCTGCTGTGTGTCTGGGTTTTTGCTATGTAGAATGGAAAAAGGCACTAGAAAACTTTTATTCACAAGTCTTCGGAGGGCAGGATGTCATATGAAACCTTTGGGAAAGGGCCAATCTGAGTAAAATAGGTTGGGATAGTTTTTTTAAATATATTTTGTATGTACATTTAAAATGAGACTTTTGTCCGAATTACATTTTAGGGCCACTGTATTAAGTCTATTTTTTAACTCTCTATTTACCATTTTTCACTCTCACTTTCTCTCTCTCTCTCTCTCTCTCTCTCTCTCTCTCTCTCTCTCTCTCTCTCTCTCTCTCTCTCTCTCTCTCTCTCTCTCTCTCTCTCTCTCTCTCTCTCTCTCTCTCTCTCTCTCTCTCTCTCTCTCTCTCTCTCTCTCTCTCTCTCCAGGTCTCATCCATCCATTCTGAAGGTTCCTAATGAGTTGTTCTATGATGGAGAGTTGCTGTCATGTGCAGATGTGATCAGCTCTAACCAGTACTGCAGCTGGGAGTACCTGCCCAAAAGAGTAAGACATCCCAGACACTCAAGCCTGATAAAAAGCATTTCAACAATTTCAAGACAATATATTTTGATTAGGTATGATGCGGTGAGATGATGAAAACATTTTTTTTATATATATATTTTTTATAAAGAATAAAGTAATAACAAATTAAGAATGAATACAAGTCAAACTTTTAATAATTGAGTACAATATTGAAATAAAAGGAATCTTACTTCAAAATAAATGACGTAAATCTAAAGCCTAAGTCTGAGATCTAGGATCTGAGATCTTAGTATAATAATCTTTCAAAGAGAGAGAGAACTGAAGCGCCCTTGAAGCAAAGAGCAAGAAGAAGAAGTGAACAAGGGCAAGAGCATACATACAGTGTTTAAGTCAGATAAAGAAGTTCAAGTCAACTATCCATTATGTCATACGGTTGTGCAACAGCTGGGTCGGTATAACCTGGTCAAAGGCTACAGCTGCAGAAATAGATAGACAAAAATAGATGTGTTGTGGTTTTGACATCTTTAGAACAAAGATTTTTTTTGTAATCAGATTTAACATTAATAGCAAAAAGCTATTATTATTATTTTTAGCTAGAAATTTGGTTTTATGTAGCTGATTTCACTGTAAAAAAATATATTGTTGGTTTAACTTTAAAAAGTAAGTTACCTGGTTTTCTTAAAATTTTGAGTTCATTGAAATAAAAAAAATAGTTGAGTTAATACAATAAAGGAGATTGGTTTAATAAATAGGAACTCAAAATATTATGTTATCTGAACCACATTAATTATCTAAGTTTATTTGACAAAAGATAAAAAGTTGTGATGATAAATCATGAAAATGTTTTTTTTACAGTGTAGAGGATATACATCTGTGCCAATACCCTCACCATGTCTATTACATTATGCATTTGCTGTATTTGGCTGTATTTGAGAGACTGATACTGTCATACAAAAAACAGTTCCTTCAACTTATTGCTGCTAAAAGTGGCTCTACAAGCAATTGAATCATAGTTTGTCACCCATGGCTTTATTTTTGTTAAATAAATAATGACACTGTGTGATATGTCATTTGTTGTTGTTCATCTGAGGTTGTATTTACGTAATTTTAAAACCTGCTAACAACCAGATGATTTTTTATTATGTTCTGATATGTAAAACCATACAATTCTAGATGTTTATTAATAAAATTCTGGTGTTTAAGTGGTCATGAAGACCTTGTGTAGTAAGTGAGTGTAGAACTTTTGATTACCCAATGGGACACACTTACAACATAGCTTTATTTACATGATTTTCAGTACTTTGCTAAATGTCTGTTCAATAGTCCCTATGTAACAAACAACACAATTTAGTCATTGTGATGCTTCCATTTAAGTAATAAAAAGCAGTTTCATATTTTGCAAAATAAACATACTCTTCTCTGCACCAATAAAATGTGCAACACTACGTTTTACTTCCAAATTACACTGAAAAAAATTATAAACGCTACACTTTTGTTTTTGCCCCCATTTTTCATAAACTGAACTCAAAGATCTAAGACTTTTTCAATGTACACAAAAGGCCTATTTCTCTGAAATATTGTTCACAAACCTGTCTAAATCTGTGTGATTATTGCACAGGTGTGCCTTAGGCTGGCCACAATAAAAGGCCATTCTAAAATGTGCAGTTTTACTGTATTGGGGGTGGGGTCCGAAAACCGGTCAGTATCTGGTGTGACCACCATTTGCCTCACACAGTGCAACACATCTCCTTCGGTTGATCAGGTTGTTGATTGTGGCGGCCTGTGGAATGTTGGTCCACTCCTCTTCAATGGCTGTGTGAAGTTGCTGGATATTGGCAGGACCTGGAACACGCTGTCGTATACGCCTATCCAGAGCATCCCAAACATGCTCAGTGGGTGACATGTCTGGTGAGTATGCTGGCCATGCAAGAACTGGGATGTTTTCAGCGTCCAGGAATTGTGTACAGACAACATGGGGCCGTGCATTATCATGCTGCAACATGAGGTGATGGTCGTGGATGAATGGCACTACATGGGCCTCAGGATCTCGTCACGGTATCTCTGTGCATTCAAAATGCCATCAATAAAATGCACCTGTGTTCGCTGTCCATAACATAACCCCACCGCAAATGGGGGCAAAAATGGGGGCAAAAACAAAAGTGTTGCGTTTATAATTTTGTTCAGTGTATTTGTAATATCTAATTAATTTAAATGATAGTTTTCCTTGACATCACATAATTTTGCGGCATATGAGTGGGGCACAGACGCTATGTTAGGACATCCACCAATGAAGAAGCAAACTAATTTTTAACTTCACTGATCATATGGTTGTGGCGTCATTAAAGGGATAGTTCACCCAAAAAATTTAAATTCTGTCATCATTTACTCACCCTTAAGTTGTTCCAAACCTGTATGAATTTGTCTTCTGCTGAATAATTTAATTCACATTACCAACAGCAAGTACTTTATAGTAGTCTGCTGTCACTTTAAGAGCTAATGCACTGATCCAACATATTGATGCATATGTGTTCCCTTTCGAGAGGTTCCTCCTATTGCGTAAGTAGCTTACGCTATGGGAAAACTCCTTTTCTCGAGAAATATTGAAGTCTTTATGTTAAACGCATTGCAGCTGCACAGCATACAGCAATGAGCGAGGCAGCTCGGTCATTGGCTGTGCTGCGGCAACTGCACGAACCTATGACGGGGCGACTCTGAACCCGCTTCCAATGAGCGTGCTTCGCGCCCGCGCGCGTCAGAGCCCGCCAAGATGGGCGTGGCCAAGGGCTATATATTGGGAGCCCCGTCGTCTGAGTTCTTTAGATTTAATTTCCTTCAGCAAAGACCTTCTCTTCGCTGGATCCTCCGGATTTTTGGAGTCTTTTCGCCGCCGCCGTCGACAAGCCTACAGCAGGACTGCTACGAGGATGCCGGCGCCTTCAGCCGCCTTCGATCGCCTTCTACTAAGCCATCCGGCGCCCATCACCTATATCCTTTCAAAGCTACCAGTGTTCGCCCCCGCGACACTTTTCTAAAAGAGTAAATTAACTGGGCGTTGTTTCAAATGCCTTCCTGCGCCTCGTGTCGAGGCCCTCTTCAGGACGGGGATCGTCACATCATCTGCACCCGCTGCCTGGGACCGGACCACGCAGAGGCTGCCCTTACTCGAGGCGGATGCCCCGAGTGTGACGCCCTGGGCCTCACCGAGCTGCCCGCTCGCTTCGCCGCTTTCGCTGCGAAAGAGCCCACCTCCACCGTGCTACCATCCCCTCTGGTCGAGCCGCGCAAGAAGAAGCGCCCCTCACAGAGGCCGCCAGAGCACGCGGTTTGCAGTGACGTCATGCCGGGCCAATCACCGCGTGCTTCACCACCACCCGAAGACTCCCCGCCGCCAGTCCAGTTCACACAGGCGGACTAGGGATGGGACGAAATATCGTTTGACAAAATATCGCGATACAAAACGTGACGAAACGCATCGAGGTCGAAAAAAAATGGATCGCGAAATAAAGATAGATGGCACTGCTGCATGATTTGCGTAGTATATAAATAATTTAGTATATTATATGTGTGTGTGTATGTATATGGGGAAGACATACAGTCTATGGTGGCAGGCTGGCAGCACCATCTGCTGATCAAGCAGGGTAAAACTAAATGAAAAAAAAAATTATATCCGGGGAACGGTGCGGTACGTCATCACGTCAAGACAGCGCATGTTGCAACAACAACACTGCAGTCTACAGCGAGCTAACAAATATTAGCATCAGTACCGACTGCCTTGCCCCCAAACAGCCGATTATGGAGTCAAATGTATATCTATACCGTAAAACTTAAAATAGTAGCCCGGGCTTTTATTTTCCCAAATCATTGAACTGCACCGGCTTGTATTTGAGACAGGCGTCTATATGAGACCGGCCTTTATAATTTAGTGTTGAGATGTTGTTCATTGAGTCTAACTAAGTAAGCCTAGAGTCTCTAATCTCTAAAAATCTCCAAATGCTCCACGTGAAACTGCGGTCCTCCGACCTTTTACTATCGCGTCAATTGATTTTGATTAATATGCGCGAGGGAGAGTGAGCAAGACAGTGCTCGTGTTGTTTGAAGACGTGAGAGTGCGCGCGCGCGGCCGGGGCGCTCTCTCTCTCTCTCTCTCTCTCTCTCTCTCTGCTCGTTATGCGCCCTGTCAAGCGCAGCAGTCATTCTATTCTACATCACTCACCGATCAAAATAGGCTTTGGCGGGACACACATTTGCTTTAGCGGCCGCCAAAAAGCGGACGATCTGACGGGTTTTAGAAGGTTAAATACAACCCAAAACTAAAAAACAGACCCGGCCTCTATTTGAGACCGGCCTTTATTTACCCAAACCTGCAGCCACACCAGGCGTGTAAAAGAGACAGGTGTCTATTTGGGACTCGGCTATTATTTGAAGTTTTACGGTATGCTACATCAGTGCCCAGTGAGCGTGTCTTTTCCACAGCAGGAGACATTGTGTCAGCTCAAAGACCACTGATTACACCAGAACATGTTGATATGTTAGTTTTTTTGAAGAAGAACCAGTCCTGAGATAACTTAACCTAGGATTAGAGCAGCACTAAGGGAGTGTTCTTGTTTGTGTTTGGCCAGTTAGGCCTTGTGTTTCCCTGTGTGCAGCTGAAACAAAAATAAATAAGTTGTTGTTATACAGTAATATTATCTTCTTTTTTTTTCCTTTTTTGATATCGTATCGTGACGTATCGTATCGTGACCCTGGCATATCGAGGTGCATCGTATCGTGAGTTTAAGTGTATCGTCCCATCCCTAAGGCGGACCAGCACCCCTCCAGCAAAGCGATGGGTCTCGTCTCGTTTGGCGCGTCAGGGGATGACGACGAAAAGGATGACAGCCTTTCCTTTGATGCTGCATCCGACGACTGGCCGGGCTCGTCCTTCGACCCCGCGCCATCGATGTTAGCGGGCACGAGCACGGGCTCCAGCATGGACTCGGAGATCGTCCGCATCCTGTCTAAGGCCGTGGAAGACCTCGGGC